ACTCCACCTCCTTCCATAGAACCTAGCCCCAGTGACAGTACAAGGGGCACCTAAAAAATCCTGTCATTTGACGCTGACGAGGGGGCCAGGTGCGTGTCACTTTGCACCCTTGTACATGTGGCAAATGTCGAATTTCATGAATAAAAAACGGCTCCACGTAACAACTCTACAGTACCTAGAACATCCCGAATCCAGGCTGCGTTCTGTTGGTGGGTGGAAGGTTCTTGATAAGTGTTTTACACCTTATCAAGGTTAGATCATAAGAGAGTTGTCTCCGAACCTGGTAGAATCTGGTGTGCGCCGATGGGTACAGAACGCATAACAACTAGTGCGCATAGAGGTTACTCCGAAGCCTCTCTCTCGGCAAAATCATCAAACAGCTCGTGCGAACCCTATCCGCCCATCTCCTGGGGATAAGGGGAAACACACACAGTAAGGGCAGAACGCACGTTATTGGGACATTTGGCTATAGATTAACTCCACGCAAAATTACACCAGACGAGAGGCGAGGATGAATCATACGGCCGAAGGTTTGTGAGTGATTGAGATGAAAAATGTTGAGCATCCTAGGTAGCCTGGGCAAGGCAAAAAAAAAAAAAAAAAAAAAAAAAAAAAAAAACCTACCCTAATTTCGAACAAGCTTTGTCTGTAGCACCAAACTTCGTCGAGGCCGCGGGGGGGTTGTCCCCTTCGAGGAAAACCCATCCCGCGGTGCTTGGGCGGGAGGTTTGAATTGGTTGTGCGCCAACAAAACGTAGCCCAGTTGTTGACAAAACCAACGGCCGTTATTCTGATGTGGCAGAGCCTTCTGTCAACCATTGCACCTCAACAATACCGCACAGCTTGTCAGGACGTGGGCCCAATCGCCCCTGATCGGCTCTGATCTGGTTGGGTCGGATCTGATCTCCACCAGATGTCGGGTAAGATCCACCCACATCTCGATGGGCGCGTCCGATTTGGCGATGAACAGCAGGGCCAGAAGGAGCTCGATCACGCGCTCCTTCTCGATGTCCTTCACCTTCGGATTGCCGTCGAGTCGGCGGTTTGCCTTGAGTGCTGCCACTGCCATCGCCTGTTTACGCAGAGCTCGACGGTGCTTCCTAGTGCGCTGGTGCTTCCGTATAGCTTGGGTCTGCACATCGGTCGCGTCTTCTCCTTTGCGGCTGAAGTTCGTTCATGCGCCAGCATGCTCCATGCAGACGGTGCACTTCATGAACGGGAAGCCTGCGCGCGTCAGACCACTGTTTCTTATACATTGACATCGCTTCCTAGTACTTTTCCTTGTCAATGTCGGGAAGTTCCGTATCAGAAGTGACGGCAACCGACCTCGACACGAATTTATGCTTTGAAGCCTGAGGCGAGGAGTTCCGGACACTAGACGCGGGCGACGCTTGACTGGCACCCCACTGGATCTTGTCAAAACATGTTCATATGTTGTTAGTTCTGCTAGGCTATAGTGAGGTGCTCAGTACAGAGTACAACCCCAGTTAGGGTTTACTACTTGTATCTCCCAGTTGCTAGTCATTCATCATTCCTGTTTACGTATTCTAACATGGTATTAGAGCAGGCTCGTTCCTAGGGCCCACCGAACGTTCCGCCCTGCCCTGCCCGTAGAATGTTTCTGCCCTCTGCTTAGCGCCCGCGCGCCGCCTTGCCTTGCAGCCCGCGCGCCGCACTGCCCTGCCTTGCAGCCCGCGAGCAGCGCTGCCCTGCCCTTAGGCCCGCGCGCCGCCCTGCCCTTAGCCCCGCGCGCGCCCTGCCCTGCAGCCCGCGCGCGCCCTGCCTTGCAGCCCGCGAGCCGTGATGCCCTGCCCTTAGGCCCGCGCGTCGCCCTGCCCTGCATCCCGCGAGCCGCGCTGCCCTGCCCTTAGGCACGCGCGCCGCCTTGCCCTGCAGCCCGCGCGCTGCGCTGCCCTGCCCTTAGGCCTGCGCGCCGCCCTGCCCTGCAGCCCGCGCGCTGCGCTGCCCTGCCCTTAGGCTCGCGCGCCCTACCTTGCAGCCCGCGCGCCGCCCTGCTCTTAGAGCCGCGCACAGCCCTGACCTGCCGTGAGCTACAGCTTGCTGCTGCGCTGCTGCTGCCGCCTAAGCTGCTGCTGCCGCCTGCGCTACTGCTGCCACCTGCACTGCTGCTGCCACCTGAGCCGCTGCTACTGACTGCCACTGCCTCTCATGGCCACTATCACGGTCGTAGCAGCGTCTAGGGGTGGACAGCAGCAGCCACTGCCTCACCCGAACACTCTATCGTCGCAGCAGCTTCGTGAGTGGGTTATTTAGAGAGCCCGCTCTGGTCCTGGAGCTGGGGATTACTTGCGTGCGGGCGGTACTGGACAGCAGCGGCAGTCTCGTCGCCAGGAGACTCTCTCGCCACAGCAGCTTTGTGAGTGGGTTATTCAGCGAGGCCGTCCTGGTGGTGAAGGATATGTTCCTGGAGGTACTCGACAGCAGCGGCAGCAGAGTCAGCCAGAGACCCCCTCGACGCAGCAGCCTTTGGAGTGGTTTTCTCAGCGACGCGTCTCTAGTAGTGTCGGTGTTGCTGCTGTAGGTGCTAGTGATTCTGCTGCTGCTCTAGGTGCTAGTGCGTCTGCTGCCACAGGTGCTAGTGAGTCTGCTGCCTCAGCTCACACCTTGCACACTTTCACACTTGACTCTGCATCTCGTTGCTTCTTTCGTGATTGCACCACAGTCACACCACTTGCTGCACCTGTCCCAGTCTCACTGGCTGACCCCTCTAGGGGCCCCGTCGTTGCACTAGCGTCCACTGTCCTCCCGTGTCCGGCAGTCCCCTCCGGCTCTCTTTCAGGCCTCCACCTCCCCTCGTTCTCAACGAACTTGGTGAGCAACGCAATCCTTCAGGATGTTTGGGTTGATACCTTTACCCCCGGAGGGCAGCGTGTGGCGATCTGTACGTACTCCCGGACTGGCCGTCACCTTGCTACGTTCAGTCGGCAGCCTGGGTTCAGTCTGTACACCCTGACCACTGCGTGTGCATAGGTGGCTGCGTCAGGTCCGGTGGCTAAGTCGAGTCAGGTGTCTGCGTCTGGCCAGTTCGCTGCGTCGTGCTCGTGTCGGGTACTCTCCCACCAGACTCTTCTCTGGCACCACCGCCTCTGTCACCCCTCTCTACCGCGTCTCCGCAGCATGCACTCCCGTCTCCCTGTCTCTGGCCACCCCAGGTCCCTGCCCCCCCTCCCGCGCTCGCCTGCCCCGCCGTGCCTTTCCTGCGTCGAGGAGCGGCAGCGCGCTACTCCTCACTCCTCGTTTCCTCCGACCACTGCTCCTCAGCAGACTTTCCGCATGGACGTGTGGGGCCCGGCCCCCGTCAGTGGGACTGACCAGGAGCGCTACTTCCTGCTGGTCGTTGACGACTACACGCGCTACACCTCGGTCTTCCCCTTGCGCAGCAAGGCGGACGTCAGCGGTGTTTTGATCCCCTAGATCCGCGCTACTCGTCACCAGCTGCGCGAGCGGTTTCGGCGGGACCTTCCAGTCCTGCGTCTGCACTCTGACAGGGGCGGTGAGCTCTCTTCCGGCCTCCTTGCGGAGTTCTGTCGAGACGAGGGCATCTTCCAGTCGTTCCCGCTTCCGGCCTCTCCGCAACAAAATGGGATTGCTGAGCGTCGCATTGACTTGATCATGGAGGTTGCTCGTATGATCCATGCGGCTGCTCCCCATTTTCTGTGGCCGTTTTTGAGAGGCGGGCCGACGCGGGTAGAACCGCCAGCAGCATGCTTCGAACTCTCTCCCTGCGTCCAAATCGGCGGAGGTTCTGGGCCCGACGAACCTATTACTACGGTAGGAACGGTGGGTGCGTTTGAAGACGGGGCAATTGAAGGTCCCCTTAAAAAATCAAGCCCAGTAAGGCCGATAGGCCGGTTGGATACCATCGAATTAGGGCCGTCGCCTACGGGCGACGGGTCCGCCATGGCCGCTCAGAACGGCCGAGCGTGCCAAGCTAGTGAGGGATGAGCCAGCGTGCCGAGATACCTAGCGCAGTAACGGTACAGAAAGCAGAGGTACCGAAGAATGTCGGGACGAACTGGCCGAGGGGCCAGATGGGGGTACCCTCGCTCGCGCCGCCATGAGAGGAATGTTGTGACAACCAACCCTCGTCGTGGCCGTGTTTCGAGGCAAGATGGGGACAAGAAACATCATAGCATCTTCTGCTGTGATGACGGGTAACTGGGCCTCTTGACATGTGCTGTCCCTACTCCATTGGGCAGTCGTTTACAGGGTGTATGGCCTTGTCGCGTGGGAGTTGCAGCGATGCAAATCACGTCGGCGCGCATATTCTATCAGTACAGCGCATACACAAAATTCCAAGTGTGTGGGTGGGGTTTCGTGAATCTGGGGCCAGGTAGGGTCTGTACACGCGTACCCTACCTTGTACCCCCCCCGAAATTTCGGTTAAGTACGATTCAGTGTGACTCACTACACTATACTGATGCTTCAGTGTAACTGGTGGTACACCTACACACTGATTGGTCAGGGTGGTACCTGCAGTTTATACTGAAAATTCAGTGCACATTTACTAAAGATGCTGAAAATTCAGGGAAAACGAAATAACAGCTACAAAATCAGCGTAATCAGTATCTTTTACGTGAGGCTTGTTGTGGGATTGCCTCTGCTATATTTGGCCAATCACTGCCTCGCGCTTCAATTCCCTCTTGGTGGGTCTAGATGTGGATGCAGATCCAAGTAGGGTTACCTTGTTCCTTTGGGAATTATAGTTTAAGAATCTTGAAGTTGAACCCTTGCCATTCTAGACTCAATCTCAACGTCCCAATACACTGTGTGCCCAGCATGGATCCCATCACTCATTGCATAAAGTTGGATGACGCTCACGAGCAATCAATTATGGAACCAAGATTGGACCATGGCAGGAAAGCTTATATCCATTTAAGCACATGATATTGAACCGCCTGTAACCTGTATGAACTTCTTTTTCCTACTACTGCCAGCAACATATGAATCATAGTGGTTATTCTCGTCTGCTCTGCCCATCACACCACTGCTGCTGCTGCTGCTGCTGCTGCTGCTGCTGATTCTTCTGCTGCTGCTGCTACCACTTGCCACCGCCCACCACCTCCCCCCTCCTTTTCTCCCTATGCCCACTTGGGAATAACATCTCCACACTCCATCTGCATACACTCGCCCTTCGATATTGTCATGCTCCCCTTTATAAACGCCTCCAGCTCAGCGGCCCTTTCAGGTGCCTTGCACTCGCCCAGGCTTCGTTTCAAGAACACCTGCATGTTGATCTCTTTCCCGCAAGGTGACTCGAGGCTGAGGCTTCGTTTGAAGAACGCTTCCAGCTCATGCGCCTTGGATCCTGGGGGAGACGATGACTGCGGCACTTGCAGAGCGGCAGAAAGTGTCGATGACTTTCGAGGTGTTCCAAAATTAATCGCATGCGCCCTTGATCCTGGGGGGGACGATGACTGCGGCACTTGCAAGGCAGCAGGGAGCGGGGCAGCAGCGGCGGTGGGCGGCCGTTTTTGAGGCGCCTCAAAAAACGCCTCCAGCTCATGCGCCTTTGATCCTGGGGGCGATGATGACTGCGGCAGTTGCAGGGCAGCAGAAAGTGGGGATGACTTTCGAGGTGCCCGAAAAGCCGTCTCATGCGCCCTTGATCCTGGGGGCAATGATGGCTGTGGCAGTTGCAGCACAGCAGAAAGTGGGGCAGTGGGCGGCATTTGAAGGGTGGATTGCAGTGTCCCAAAGGGGTTGCTTATGGCAGGGCCAATGAGAGGAGCAGAACAGGAGCGGGCCAGCAGGCAGGGGCTATTGGGAAGGGTACAACTGGAACAAGGCTCACTGGGGGAGGTAGAACTGGGGAAGGCTTTACTAACAGCAGGGGAAGTCGGGACAGCAGAGTAGCTTATTGGGTAAAACGTCTGGGAAAAAAGAAAATTGGGTGCAGAGTTGCTAGATGATAGGATGCTGGGAAGGTGGGAGTGGGAGAAGGGGTGACTGGGGAGGGGGTGACTAGGGAGGGGGTTAATGGGGAGGAATTGACTCAGGAGGGGGCTACTAGGGGAGGAATAATTGGGGGTTTGAGGGGGAAAGGGACGAGTAGTGGGTGGAAGGTTGGGCGAACGAAGGACACCAGGGTAAGGAGGGGGCAGGCTTAAGCCCTGGGGTGGGGCGGCAGCAGGGAGAAGGGATGAGGGGGGGGAGGTAAATGGGGCAGTCAGGTTCGAAGAGGAGGGAAGGGGGAAGGGGGCGGGGAAGGGAGCGGGGAAAGGACAGGAAAAAGGAGGGGATCTGGGAGTGGGGAAGGGAGTGGGGAACGGGGCGGGGAAAGGATAGGAGACGGGCAGAAGTTCACGAGAGTAGGACGAGTGGTATAGGGGGAGTTGAGACGAGAAAGCCGTCTGCTGCAGGCTCGCTTTATTATCGCACCCGGCATTAGGCACACTGAGCAAGCCCGTCCCGTGCGCCCGGCCGTAGGAAGAAATGAGAGCAGCAACTCCCATTTCTACAGCTGAACCGGGAGCACCAGGGGCTGTAGTGACTCCAGGCGCACTGCAGGCTGTAGCGAACCCGGGAGGGGCACCAGAGGTTGTAGCGAACCCGGGAGGGGCACCAGAGGCTGTAGCGAACCCGGGAGGGGCACCAGCGGCTGTAGCGAACCCGGGAGGGGCACCAGAGGCTGTAGCGAACTCAGAAGAACCAGAGGCTGTAGCGAACCCGGGAGGGGCACCAGAGGCTGTAGCGAACTCAGAAGAACCAGAGGCTGTAGCGAACCCGGGAGGGGCACCAGAGGCTGTAGCGAACCCAGAAGCACCAGAGGCTGTAGCAAATTCAGCACCAGGCACTGTAGCGAACCCCACTCGTCTCTCCGGGTCCGAAAGTCTTTCACAAGGGCCACAGGCGCAATCAGACACGCTCGCCCTTTCGCATGCAAATCCCCACTTATTTGTGACTGTATCGAAAGCATTAGCTCCATTTTCCGAGACTGCACTTCTTGTGACGTCAGTGTGTGTGACTGTATGGGGGGCACCGCCTGGGGAACTCCCAAGGAAGCTCTGTAGGGAGCTGCTGGCGGGAAGGCTTCGAGAGAGGCAGGACGGACCAATCGGATCACTGCTTCTAAGGGAGCCTCGCTTGCGCTTTGGAGTTCCCTGGGACCTGCCGAGGCTCGGGCTCAGCTTCGGGTTGACGCTCGGGCTTTGCTGCTGCTTCGTGGGCCTCTCGTTCGGTGCCCCGGGAACCAGATCCAGACTGCCGCTGCTGGACCATCTGTACCGCATAGCACCGCTCTCGACGCCAGCAGGTCTGCTGCTGGGGATGCTGCGAAAAGGAGGAGTGGAAAGAGCGCTGCCAACAGCGCTCCCAGCAGTGCCGGCAAAAGCACTCGCAACAGTGCCAGTAGATGTGACAGCAGCAGCAGGTGTATCAGCAGTGAGTGTGACAGTAGCAGGTGGTGTATCAGCATCGCCAACTCGCTGTCGCAGCCGTCGCAGAGATTGCGGCCATCAACGCCGTGATCGCAGCACTCCATTCAAACCTCTATTAGTAATCTGGAGATTGAAAAAATAGTTACCCCCGCGAGATCGGCCGACGGAATAAACGCCGCCGCGTCGGAGAAGAGAAGCGTTAATCAACGATCTGACTGAACGTCGCGGCGGCGCCGCTGGCTAGTAGGGGTAATTTAAACGCGGTACACGAAGGAAAATCGATAAATTGCACCGCGATAACCACTTATCACTGCGAAACATGAGGGATGATTCAAAGCTCGTCGCGGCGCCTTGTAATCGTCTGCGTCTAAAGAAACTCGTAAAAGATTTGCGGAAACTGGATTTCAGACTCTGAGCCTCGGAGCGGCCGTACAACACCGAGTTACCTCACCCACAACTCATCTAATTGTGCTGCTGATCAGCGCAGCTCAGTGCGGATCGAAGGCTACGAGGAGGATGTACCTTCCGCGAGCACTAGGGTACATTCCGAGGATGTACATTACGACTGTATGTGTTGCACTGACAGTGCCAGCCTGCACGCCACTGGTAAGAGCGCACTGCTCACAACCACGAGTGACTTCCATGGTGCTATTACTATAACTGTATATACTATTTTTAAAGGGGAAAATCGTACGCGTCCCCTCATGGACAAGTTCGGTCCTTCGTTGTCGAATCGCGCGGCGCTCGCAACGCGAACAACCGCTAGGCCCGGCCCTCTGCCAGATCGTCGCAAGCAAGAGTGTGTTACGACCAGGGCTGATAACGATGACGCGGCGTGACGCGATTGGGAGACTGAATATATTATTCCTCTCCCGTGAGGATATGGATTTCGATGACCATGACTTGCGGAGAGGGCAGCAAGTGGAGGCGGGTTTAGTTGCGAGGGAACGAGTAGGACAGCCGAGGACGTCAGGGCCGACATTCCTTGTTCGGCGTTAATTAATCGGTGTGGAATAGTGTTTTCGAGAAACTAGGATCGAGGCAGAAAGAGGAGATTGTTCGACCATACAAATTCACGGATATATATAAACACGGATTCACCCCACTCACATAGGAGTTTGCTTATTCCTCGACCCTACCCAAACGTTTTGAAAGTAATAAAAGCCGCTCTGAGACACAAAACATCCCACTCCACCGTGTCATATCCGTCACCGTTGCTGCATAGATGGTTACATGCTTTTTTTCTTCAACTGCTTGCAGAATGAAGAATTGACAATGTGCTGAAAATGTTCAATGGCTGGGCAGAAGCAAGTGGCGGACGAGTCCGCCTTATCGGGAAATTCCTGGAAGTAGGGGCAAGCGACAAGTGGCAAAGAAGCAACTGGCGAACGACTCTCGTCCGGCTCCAATTTTCGCCAATCAGCGCACACATCCATGCCAGCGCATACAATTCTCGGCCTCCCATACGTGCGTCTTTCAACTCCACCACACTTCTTCCATTGAACCTAGCCCAGTGTGGTGTACAGACACCTAAAAAATCCTGCCGTTTGACGCTGGAAAAAGTCCCAGGTGCATGTCGCTTTTGCACCCTTGGCACAACTACAAGTGGCAAATGTCGAATCGGACGAATGAGAAACGGCTCCACGTGACAGCTCTACCTCCAGCGCACCCTGAATCCAGTTGTTGGCAAAACCAAAGGCCGTTATGCTGATGTGGCAGAGCCTTCTGTCAACCACTCTATCTCGACAAAATCCGCACAAACAGAAGTGACAAGTTTGATCCAAAATACGCCTACGGTACTTCAAGTGCGTCTTCCACTTACAGCATGGTTCTCACTCAATGTACATCTTTAAACACTTTGCTTTGGTAGTCTGATAATCAATAATGAACTTTGATACATCTACTGTATAACCCTTCAGGACTTCACGCATTCTTCAAGCTATGTCAGTCTAATTGTACCTACACACAATGAGGTTCATGAGCGTGCTGGGCGCAACTTGGGTGGGAGATGGAGAGAGCAACGTGCTGTGAGGCGACGAGTTGCTATGAGAATCAGCTGATGAGACAATGTGCTGCGAGCAACACAACTCATGAACGTGCCGGGCGGAGCTTGGGCGTCCAGGTGATGGGCGAGACTGAGAAGGCAGAAGCTGTGAGGCGATGAGGTGCTGTGAGAATCAACCCAAGAGAAGCGTTGAGAATCAACTCAGGAACGAGGTGGTCTGAGCTTGGGCGTGAAGGTGATGGGGGAGACGGAGAAGGCAACGCACTGCGAGGCGGTGAGTTGCTGTGAGTTGCTGTAGACACTCAAGAGCGTGCCGGGCGCAGCTTGGGCGTGAAACTGAGAAGGCAACTCGCTGCGAGGCGATAAGAAGCTGCAATGAGTAACACACCCGCCTCAAGTGAATCAAGAGCGTGCCGGGCGCATCTTGGGCGTGAAGGTGATGGGGGAGACGGAGAAGGCAACGCACTGCGAGGCGGTGAGTTGCTGTGAGTTGCTGTTGACACTCAAGAGCGTGCTGGGCGCAGCTTGGGAGTGAAGGTGATTGGCGAGACGGAGAAGGCAACGCGCTGGGAGGCAAAGGTGACCATTCTCCTCTCGAGGTCCGTGAGTGGACGCTCTATCACCCTCTCCCTCACCGCATCCTGTTCAGCACGCACAGGGAGAGAGGCAAACAAGGAGACAGGGAGGGAAAGAAACACACTATCACCAGGTGACTGCCAAGGTGACCATTCGCCTCTCCAGGTCCGTGAGAGGGTGCTCTATCACCCTCTCCCTCACCGCATCCTCTTCAGCACGCACGAGGAGATAGGGGGAGACAGGCAGAGAGGCAGAGGGGCAGAGAGGTAGTGAGGCAGATTGCATGGGAGTAACGTTGCTGGTGGTGGTGAGAAGGCTGGCTGACGCAGACCTGCAGTGGATGCTGACGCAGACCTGCAGTGGATGCTGACGCAGACCTGCAGTGGATGCTGACGCAGACCTGCAGTGGATGCTGACGCAGACCTGCAGTGGATGCTGACGCAGACCTGCAGTGGATGCTGACGCAGACCTGCAGTGGATGCTGACGCAGACCTGCAGTGGATGCTGACGCAGACCTGCAGTGGATGCTGACGCAGACCTGCAGTGGGTACTCGCATCGTCCGTGGTGACGGGGGCACACGACTGGCGTTGGGCAGACAGGCTCGTGTACAGACAGACAGACTCACATTATTGTGCCGGGCCAGGAATCCCATGTGCACCTTGTTTTTGGTGCTGGTGTGAGGAGCGGGAGTGCAGCGCATGATTGGTGCGATGTGCGTATTTGTGCGCAGATTCGCGTAGAAAGGTACTTGTGTGAAGAGACTTGTAGGCAGAGCAGACTCACATTGGTGTGCCGGGCCAGGGACCCCACGTGTAGCACGTTGTTGGTGTTGCCCCACTCGTCCACCTCTGTGGGCAGGTCTGCTGCATGCCTCCAGTGCCCGTCCACTATGAACTTGTAGCGGTAGCTGTGAGAGGGGGAGGTGTATCAAGCAAGCAGGTGAGTGAGTGAAGCACGCACGCATGTGGTGGCGCATGGGATGACACCTCTGTGGACAGGTCTGGGATGACACCTCTGTGGACAGGTCTGGGATGACACCTCTGTGGACAGGTCTGGGATGACACCTCTGTGGACAGGTCTGGGATGACACCTCTGTGGACAGGTCTGGGATGACACCTCTGTGGACAGGTCTGGGATGACACCTCTGTGGACAGGTCCGCTGCATGGCACCAGTGCCCGTCCACTATGAACTTGTAATGATAGCTGGAGGGGAGGGGAGGGGGGAGGGGAGAGAGAGGAGAGAGGGCGGGATTGGAGTGGGTGAGAGGGGGTGAGAGGCAGCAGGTCTGCTGCATGCCTCCAGTGCCCGTCCGCTATGAACTTGTAGCGGTAGCTGGAGGGAGGGGGGGGGGAGTGGACATACGAGGGGGTGCAAGCCAGAAGAGGCAGTGAGATGAGAGGAGGCAGGTCCGCTGCATGCCTCCAGTGCCCGTCCGCTATGAACTTGTAGCGGTAGCTGGAGGGAGGGGGGGGGAGTGGACATACGAGGGGGTGCAAGCCAGAAGAGGCAGTGAGATGAGAGGAGGCAGGTCCGCTGCATGCCTCCAGTGCCCGTCCGCTATGAACTTGTAGCGGTAGCTGTGGGGGGAGGGGGGAGGAGGGAGGGGGGAGAGAGGAGAGAGGAGAGAGGGCTCGATGGGAGTGGGTGAGAGGGGGTGAGAGGGGGTGAGAGGCAGCAGGTTCACTGCATGGCGCCAATGCCCATCCACAATGAACTTGTAGCGATAGCTGGAATAAAGGAAAGAGGAGGGGGATGGGATGGGAGTGCAGTGAGGAGAGGGAGTGAGAGAGGCCACGGGTCTGCTGCATGGCGCCAGCGTCCATCCACTATGAACTTGTAGCGATACCTGGTGGGGAGGGGGGAGGGGAGAGAGGGAGGGCGGAATGCATGGGCAAAGCCAACAGAAGCACAGGGGAGGCCTTGCGGAAATGAACAGAAACAGGAGAGGTGCAAGCAGGCACTCACGATCCGAGGGGCAGCCTGAGCGCGAGGACGAACTTGGAACCCCCCACTGGTGTGGGTGGTGTGGCGACCGCTGGCATGCCATACATTACATCACCACAGATAGCCATAGCCCTTGCAGAAGAGAAGAGGATCAGAACAGGTACAAGCAGACACTCACGATCCGAGGGGCAGCCTGAGCGCGAGGACGAACTTGGAGCCCCCCACTGGTGTGGCTGCCACTGGGTTCTTCCACCCGCCTGATAGCTCCCCCACCAGTAGCACCTGCAGGAAGGAGGGAGGAATGGGAGGGACGCAATGGGAGGGAGGCAATGGGAGGCAGGCAATGGGAGGGAGGCAATGGGGGGGAGGCACTGGGAGGGAGGGAATGGGAGGAAGGCAATGGGAGGGGGGGAATGGAAGGGAGGCAATGGGAGGAAGGCAATGGGAGGAAGGCAATGGGAGGGAGGGAATGGGAGGGAGGCAATGGGAGAGAGGGAATGGGAGGGAGGCAATGGGAGGAAGGCAATGGGAGAGAGGGAATGGGAGGGAGGCAATGGGAGGAAGGCAATGGGAGGAACGCAATGGGAGAGAGGGAATGGGATTGAAGTGGTGCGTTGAGATAGCCACTGGGTCTTTCCACCCGCTGGATAGCTCCCACCAGAAGCACCTGCACTGGGGAGGGGTGGAACGGGAGGGGAGGGGTGGAACGGGAGGGGTGTGAGACGAGGCCCGTTCTCTCACCTCTCAACCCCCACTTGAGAACTCTCAAGACTGAATCTCTCCAACCCTCAACCTCTCGCCTCCCTTATCCGGTGCAATCAGCACTGAGTGGGTGGCGGGACAGTTTCTGTTAACCACATTCTTAAGAAAACCACACACATACACTGCACAAGGAGCCCTCACCTCTCTAAGCCCGACTAAGTTTGCTGCTCGCTGGGAACTATATCAGAAAACCACACATATACTCAACACAAGGAGCCCTCACCTCTCAGCTGGATGGTTCGATGTGATGTGCTCTGCGTGAGTGGCAGGGCAGTTTGTGACAGCCACATTGCCTGGTAAGCACATTCTCTTTTACCCACATTCTCTGTTCACCATCCTCTCTGGTAACCAGAACACTAGATTGCGTCCGTTCCCTCACCTCTGCCCCCCATGTTCCATGCAATCTGCACCAAGTGGCAGGGCAGGTAGTGGTAACCCCATTCTCTGGTATCCACTAACTGGCTTCTCTGGGTCCTCACATGAATCTCTGGGTTCTATGAGAACCACTGACCACCCTCTCTGGTAACCATACATCACACAAGGAGGCCTCACCTCGCGCCCCCCGTGGTTCCATGCGATCTGCACCGAGTGAGTGGCAGGGCCCGTGTGTCTCACCCCACGCCGCAGCATGGCCACCAGATCCCATGTGGCCGCTGCCAGTGCCGCCCTGGGATGGCAGGAAGATAGGAGGGACGGGTGGGATGCGAGAAATCAAAGGGGAGCAGAAGGGAGAGAGGAGAGGGGACCGGAGGGTAAGGGGCAGGGCCCATGTGTCTCACCCCACGCCGCAGCATGGCCACCAGATCCAAACTTGCTGCTGCTTGTGCCGCCCTGAGATGGGGGTAAGTGGAAAGATGGGGTTGGATGCTCTGTCAACAGTGCATGCAGACAGCTTCACATCACACTGAACCGTACTGAACCGCACTAAACCAAATGGATCCCCGCTGAACCACACTGCATACTCACTGAACCGAACTGAAGCGCAATGTTGAACTGAACAGCTCACTGGTTGGTTGGGCTGGCAGGGGCGGACGTCACAAACAAAGTGGAGGGCTTGAGGCAAGGGGATGGCGAGCACCCAGTGCAGGTATGCACACACCACTGCTGGCGCCCTGTCCACCCCGTCTGTATCCGTCACCAGCACATGCAGCCACTGCTGCTCAACTCCCAGAACCGCACTGAACCGCACAGAACTGCACTGATACGCACTGCACCGCACTCAACCGCACTCAACTGTGGCTCACCGGTTGGGCTGGCAAGGGCGGACGTCGCAGACAAAGTGGAGGGCTTGAGGCAAGGGGATGGCGAGCACCCAGTGCAGGTATGCACACACCACTGCTGGCGCCCTGTCCACCCCGTCTGTGTCCGTCATCAACACATGCAGCCAGTGCTGCTCAACTTCCCAGAACCGCATTAAACCACACTCAACTGTGCAGAACCGCACTGAACCGCACTAAACTGCATGAAACCGTGGCTCACCGGTTGGGTTGGCAGGGGCGGACGTCACAGACGAAGTGAAGAGCCTGGGGCAACGGAATAGCAAGCACCCAGTGCAGGTACGCACACACCACTGCTGGCGCCCTGTCCACCCCGTCTGTGTCCGTCATCAACACATGCAGCCAGTGCTGCTCAACTTCCCAGAACCGCATTAAACCACACTCAACTGTGCAGAACCGCACTGAACCGCACTAAACTGCATGAAACCGTGGCTCACCGGTTGGGTTGGCAGGGGCGGACGTCACAGACGAAGTGAAGAGCCTGGGGCAACGGAATAGCAAGCACCCAGTGCAGGTACGCACACACCACTGCTGGCGCCCTGTCCACCCCGTCTGTGTCCGTCACCAACACATGCAGCCCCCGGCGCAGCAGGCGGTGCAGAATCCCCACCGCCACTGGGAGCTTTCGGCGCAAGTCATGCCCGTCGTGGTGCCTGGGAGAAGAGAGAGGGGTGAGTGGGAAAAGGCTAGGTGAGGAGACAGTGGCGAGTGCAGGAGAGGGCAGGGTGGGGGATGAAGGGATGGAGAAAGTGCAGCAGGCGGTGCAGCATGCCCCACCCCACTGCACTGAGAGCTTTCGGCACAAGTCATGACCGTCGTGGTGCGTGGGGTGGGGGTTGCAGGGCGGGGAGAGAGAGGTGAGTTAGGGCCTCAATTCATGCCACAATGTAATGACGATCGATAACCGCACTATCACCCCCGCGTCCCTTGCCTCCTGGACCGAGGGCCGACATCCATGCTGTTACTATCAGCGACAGCACCAGCTCACCTGATAGGGTGGTGCACCACCATCACCCCTGCGTCCCGTGCCGCCCGATTCATGCCATCCACGTCCACTGCCCAATTGAGCTTCTCTGTGGCTCGCTGCAGGTCCAACACTGCTGTTGTGGCCTGACAATGGTGGATGCGGGGGGAGGGGGATGGAGACTGTGTGAGGGGAGGAAAGCCCTGCGTGTGCCATCCACGTCCACTGCCCAGTTGAGCTTCTCTGTGCCTCGCTGCAGGTCCAACACTGCTGTTGTGGCCTGAGGTGCAGGGTGGGGGGGATGGGAGGGGCATAGAGAGTGTGTGAAGGGGAGAAACACTAGCATACATACAAAAGGAGGAGACAGTGACTGTCGAGGGGGAAGAATTATCATAACACGGGGCAGCCAGAAGAGGAGGAGCATATAGAAATAGTGGGGGGGGGGGGGGGGGGGGGGGGGGGTATATAGAGACTCCGGAGGGGTGTATAGAGAGGGTGGAGGGGCGAATAGAGGGGGGAGAGGAGCGTGTCGAGAGAGAAGGGAGGGGGGAATAGGGGGGGAAGAAAGGGCGAATAGGGAGGGAGGAGGGACGGACGAATACAGCGGGAGGAGGGGCGTATTGAGAGAAAGGGGGTAGAGGAGACAGACCAGCCTTTGGTGTGCGGAGGTGATGTCTTCCGGGCACAGGAGTGCCGCTCCAAAGGCCAAATGGTCTGATACCTGGTGGAGGTGAGGTTGGTGAATGGGGGACATGGCATAGAGATAGGCGCATAGAGGTGGGTGGGTGGATGGGTGGGTGGGTGATTGGTGATGTCTTCTGGGCACCAGAAGAACCGCTCCAAAGGCCAGATGCTCTGATACCTGTGGGGGGTGAGGTTGGTGAATGGCGGAGGAGGGGAGATGAAGGGGATGAGAAGGGGGGAAGGAGGAAAAAGAGAGAGAGCAACACAGGAGTGTTGCTCCAAAGGCCAGATGCTCTGATACCTGTGGGAGGTGAGAGGTTGGTCAATGGATTCTGGGGCATGGAAGCATGAGGCATAAAGTGGGTGGTGGAGAGGTCTTCTGGGCACAAAACAAGAGAGCTGCACCAAACGTCAGATGCTCCGATACCTGGTGGAGGTTGGTGTATAGCACAAGAGAGGCTGGGAAGTGGGACAGAGAGAGGCATGGGATCGGAAAGGAAAGGAAGGCTTCAGAGGGAGGGATGAAGGGAAGGGGGGAGGACCTGTGTGGGGGTTGGCGGGTGAAGCAGCTCAAACAGTTCTTAGCTGCGCCTAAAGTCGCTCCACTCCATACACACCACCCCTCCTCTCCTGAGTGTGCAAATGAGCGCACCGCAAATGCCTGTGAGTGGGCAAGTGAAGCGGCTCGAACCTCGAGTCCCCCACGCCTCTTGTATACGCCTCCACAAATTCATTCACCTGCCCCACCCCAAGCCCCCACGGGTTTGAGTGCTCAAGCCTGATCTCAGCGTACACTCATCACACAAACCACACACCACACACTACTCTCCCTCACCTGTGTGTGAGTCGGTGAATGCAGCGGTTCAATCAAATCTCGAATCCCCCACGCCTCTTGTATACGCCCCTCCACGAATCCATCCACCCGCCCCACCCTATGCCCCTTAAGCCACACCATGAACACAGCATACACACCACTCTCCCTCACCTGTGTGTGAGTGGGTGAATGCAGCGGTTCGAACCTCGAGTCCCCAACCGCCTCGTGTGTATGCCTCCACAAATTCATCCACCCGCCCCACCCCAAGCCCCCACCAGCTGTGCTTAAGCCACATCATAAATGCACCACGGAGGCACCACCTTCTCTCATCTCACCTGTGTGTGAGTGGGTGAGTGGAGTGGCTCGAATCGTGAGTCCCCCACGCCTCTTGTGTACGCCTCCACAAATTCATCCACCCGCCCCACCCCAAGCCCCCACCACCTTCCCTCCCCCTCCGCTCCCCCGTCCTTCCCAGAGGAAGCATCCCAGAAACCGCGCTCCGGCCACTGCCAGTCCGCGTCCTTCCGACCCTGCTGCTTCGCCTCCCCGAACCACTCTTCCCTCTCTCCCACCCCCTCCTCGCCTCTCTCCCTTTCGCCCCTGTCACCCCGTTCTCCCATACCCTCCTCCTCATTGCTCTCCCGGCCCTCCTCTCCCCTCCCTCCTCTCATAGCGGCTGCAAGAGCTGCTGCTGCCTCTGCTGCTTGCGCCCACTCAGCCCCATCCTCCTCCTCCACCTCTCCTCTCCTCTCTTCCTTCCCTTCTATTCTCTCCAGGGTCGTATCTCCCTGCTCGATCTTCTCTTGACTAGCTTCTTGAGCTGCAGTTCCCATAGCTGGGGCCACACCTGCCTCAGCCACACCTGCCTCAACCACACCTGCCCCAGCCACACCTGCCTCAACCACACCTGCCCCAGCCACACCTGCCTCAACCACACCTGCCCCAGCCTCACCTGCCCCAGCCACACCTGCCCCAGCCTCACCTGCCCCAGCCTCACCTGCCCCAGCCTCACCTGCCGCAGCCTCACCCTCTAGGTTTGCTTCCCTACCAACGGCCTCCTCTCTGGCCAAACCACTTCCTGCCCCAACCGCGTCTCCAGCTGCTACCAAATCCTGGGGATTAAAGGCTTGGGTTTCAACCACTCGAGTTTCCAACCCTTGACCCGGACCTGTCGCGTCCTGCTTACCAGACCTCTCATCAGCTCCGAAATCCGGACCTGAATCCGAGCCAGACACAAGTTTCCCCTCAAAGAACGGAAATAGGACCCACTCTGGCTCTGCCTGTGCTTGCTCCACCCGCTCCTTCCCCTCTCCTCCCTCTCCTTTCGCCCTCCCTGTCTTCCTTTTCTTACCCCACAAAGTGCCGCCTAGTATCGCCCTCACACCCCTCCCCCCCGCCTTCTGTGCCTCCCCACCCTTCAATCCTTCGTCCTCTCCCATCCCTCCATCCATCCTTTTCTCCCCTTCTCCATCTCCCATGCTCCCTTCCCCATATACGCTCTTCTCCTCCTTTTCATCCAACGCTTCATCCATCTTCCCCCTTCCTTCTAAAACGCCCACCCCCTCCACCTTCCCCCGGTCTTCCAACTTTCCCCCACCCTCCACCTCCCCCCCATCCTCCACCTTCCCCCCATCCTCCTGACGCCCCTCCCCTTCCCTCGCCACCCTTACCTCTGCCTCTCTAACATGCTGGATCACTACAGACTCGTTCACACCTACAGCTGCTTCATTCCCCAGCTCTCCCTCTCCTCTTGCTGCTACCACCACCCCCACTGATTCACCCGCTTGCTCCCTCTGTCCACCACCCCTCACCTCTCTTCTCACTTCTCCCGTCTCCTTTGATTCACCCCTCTCCTCGCTCTTAACATCAATGCCACCACCACCATCACTAATGCCATTTTCTTGCTCTTGAATGAACCCAGACACACTCTTTCCCTCCTCGGCCTTCCTCCCCTCACTCCCCTCCCTCGTCCCTTCCTCCCCCTTCCCCTCCCCTTGTCCCTGTCTCCCACCCCACTCCCTCCTCTCTCTCCTCCGCTCCCCATGTGGTCTCAGCTCAGAAAACGACACAAGACCCACCCGCCCCACTCCCCCCCTTGCAAAAAGTGTTCGTGCTGACATGGCGCTGCTCGCGCTGTAGCGTGGCCAGCTGGACGGGTGGTGCCACGTGGCAGCTGCTGAGCGGCCGGGATTGTCGGAGCGGAGAGGGTGGGAGAGGATGATGCGTTGGGTGGTGGGGGCGTGCAGGGCTCTCTCTAGCACAAACGTGCAAGGGCCCTTACCCTCCTCGATTGCGGCTCTGTAAGGATAGGATGGATTAGGTGGGGGATGAGGGACACAGGCCGCCGAGAGGGAAGAGTTTGAAACAGGCGGATAAGATGATGTGATGTGACGTGAGACGTCGAGAGTGGGTGTGATACATATGCGAGGGACTGAAGGTCATTGACTCGTGTGAGCGGCGTGCCTTGAGCCACTGACACCAGTCGCACCACACCTATTGTGACGTCTCACAAGTCACACTGTGTGCGGCATGATACATACATGAGGGATTGCAGGTCAATGACTCGAGTGAGCGATAGGCCTTGAGCCACTGACACCAGCCGCACCACATGTTTTGAGATGTCTCAAAAATCACTTACACGAGGGACTGAAGAGGTCAATGACTTGTGTAAGCGGCATGACACATACCTGAGTGATTGAAGGTCAATAACCCGAGAGAGCGGCGTGCCCTGAGCCACTGAAACCTGTCGCAGCACATCCCCCACCATCACCATCTGCCCTCGCTCTGCGTTCCCCTGATACAATCACATTCGCCAAGATGAAACGGTCAGATCATATTAATCACCCTTTTCAGTGACAAAGTTAAGCGAACACTTGCCATGCACTTTCTGCAAAAATAAAAATCCCCAGTGCGGTTATCCCCTTCCCTTCACGGTACCTTCTCCTGTAGTGCTTCGACATAAACTGCTCCGCTATCCGTTTGGGAGAACCAGATCCCCAGCGGCTTCTCTATAGTCACCATGTACTCGTTCAGGTTGAACTTGTACCGCCCGTCCCTCGCTGCAGTCACACCCCCCCCCTCGCTCTCCCCCTCGCGAGCCCACCCGCGCCGCCTCGTCTCCAGCAGCCGCCACGTGTCCCCTGGTCGAGTCCCGTTCCCGCCAATGAAACGCCATCGTGGCCGAATTCCATTGGGTATACCGTTCCCAAGAGAGAGTGGTTTAAGTGGATCCCGTTTGAAAACAGACGTTGAGAGGGGGGTTACCACATGAAGCCGTGTTCCTGACGTGACGCTACAAACCGAATCTTTCGAGTTCGATTTTTTCGATGGCCTTGTCGACTGTAGTATAACGGGTTTCGAGCCTCCGGAAAACACTATAGCGCGACCGGATGCCAAGGAGAAACTGGATGAAGAAGTGATACAACGCGGATTTGCTAGATGCGGACGCGCTTGTAACGAATTACAACTCGACCAGAGGTTATCGACAATAGACCCGCAGGCAGGAGTCACGGGAGAAGCCGCCATGGATTTCACTGATATCGGCCCTGTTCTTCTGCGCTCATACTAGAAAGCAGCAGTGTTTGAAAAAAAAACTTTCAAGATGCCTCAAAAACGGCCATCATGAGCTTCGCTGACATCGAACCTGTCCCATACCCGATATATTCAGTGAACGCTCTGCTACTACCAATTAGTTAGTGATCAGGGAACCTCTGCTACAGTGTAGCACGTGACGCAAACGTGAAGAACTGAATTCAAACAGCTCGAAGGATGTGTACGACAGTTTCAGCGGGAATAGCTAATCCCCTAAATCATCCCCTACCGTCTCAGCAACGACATTACCCTTTAGTCTAGCTGCAAACTAGTTAGTCCAGGCGCCTGTTAGTCTGGCAAGGTCTCTAGACTAAGATCGAATGTGGAAAGAATAAGCCGCCAAAATTGTATCGTTCCGTCATTCCCAAGAGCGTGTGAATGGCTGCACGAAGTGTTCCGAAACTTTCGAAATCATCGCTATCGGTTGCACAGCTCTCGACCCATACCGAGACTAAATCCAGAACCGAACCAAACCACGTGTTAAACCGGCGCCATTTTCTTCAGCCGTAATCCTCGTTAGTACCTCACGCGACAAGCGTTTTCTCGTTATTTACGGACAACACACAATTGCTCTTCAACTTTCAGCATTGTTGGGCTGAGATACGATAAGCCATAGGATCTTTTAGAAACTTGTCCTAGTGAACAAATGCAGCGGAAGTAAGAATGTTTGTGAACAAATAAACATGGAAAATCAGGCTCTCTTACAATAATGTGTTACCAGGTGAGTTAACCAGAGGAAAACTTCATGAAGTCTTGCATGAAACATCACATCTGTCACATGAAACATCACACGTGTCCTTGAAAGATTACAGGCAATGACAGCCACGTTTTCCCGTAATTTATCACGAGTGGCAGAATCACTGCTTGGAGTCAGTAGTCAGTTGAAACAAACGACACCTGATCACGTGTTATCTGCCAGCTCCTTCCTTCTTCTCTTCTGACTCCTCTCCTGGCTCCACCCCTGCTGCTGTTTGAGGGGCCGCCTCCCCATCTGCAGCAGCAGAAGTGGCAGCGGCAGATGCGCTTGCAGGGGCAACAGCAGCATCAGAGGAAGGTTCACCAGCGGCGGCAGTTGCAGAAGGCGCAGGTGTGGAGTCTTCAATAGCTTCCAGGAAAGATACCACTCCGTACCCATCTGCAGAGAAAGGGAGAAAATCAAGCAAGAAAATGATGTTTCCTCTTAATGCCGATGCCATGTGCACTCTAATATTGAGTTAGACAACATTCCCACATTCACGAAAAAAGGATGACAAGAATCTCTGAAGTGCGCACTCACACTCCTTTATATCAATGCCAAACATTCAAGAGTGATATTTTTCGGGAAGCAATAAGGTGACTCTGAAGTTAATTGAAAAATGGCCAAGCAATCAAATAATGCTGCCAAAGGGCTTACACTTGTTCACATCGATGCCAAACTGAGAGAGGTCGATCTTCCCCGCAAGCAACACCTGACAATCATGAGACAATGAAAGCAACGCTAGCAAAGAGAGAGACTAGAGGAAAGAGAGCAACAAGAGCAACGAGAGCAAGTGGCTAGTGGGAAATGTACACTACAGAAGATAACGTTATGAAATGCGTGTGTAAGTGTTGTGTGTGTGTGTGTGTGTGTGTGTGTGTGTGTGTGTGTGTGTGTGTGTGTGTGTGTGCGTGCAAGTGCGCGTGTGTATGTGCAAGTGTGCACGTGCGTGTGGCACAAGAAGAGAGAGGAGGCAGAGGACGCTCTGGAGAGAAGCAGATCTGACCTCAGGAAACGCGTCCAGCTGCTGCTGAAACTGCAAGTGCGTGGTGTACGTGTGACATGTGTGTGGTGCAAGCGTGGTGGGCGTGCAAGCACAGTTCTGTGTTCGTGTGGAAAGAAGCAATGCTGACCTCAGAAAACGCGTCCAGCTGCTGCTGAAACTGCGGGCTCAGCACGAGCTGCCGCATGTCTTCCGGCTTCCTCAGCTCCTGCTCATCAGGGAAAAAGCACAAGGCAAGAGCTCAAGGATTTTTTATGCGCCTCAAACAAGGCACACGGGAAGGGCTCAATGTTGAGGTACGCAGGTGCCTTTTGGATCGCCATCCGGCTACCTCGTCTCCAGGAGAACACAAGGAAAGGAGGTGGTCCGTGGAAGCAAGGAAGCACAACATTGAAAGAGAAACCGTTAATCGGCGATACGGCGATACGGATGAGACGCAAGGGAGCAAGAGGGCATGTAACAAAAATAGGGCTCGGTTGTTTCTTGCATGCCACAGTGCACATAAGCATTTAGAGTCGTCACCAAAAAGCAGCGGGATTCTTTAACATAGCGAGCAACGAGTGGTTCGGAGACGTCTCAACTCAGAGTGGAAAGAGGCACGTACAGGCAGGAAAAACACAGCCAGTCTCCGCTGGAAAGTGCCATCGCTGAGAGCGCTAATCATGACCTCAGGCTTGAGAAAGACGTTCAGAGATGTCTCTAACCTTAGAGCCAAGGGGCTGTAAGACCGAGTAAACTGAGAGACGATAAGGCACTTACAGGCGGGAGGAACTCGGCCAGCCTCTGCTGCACTGTGCCATCACCGAGAGTGCTCATCATGACCTCAGGCTTGAGAATATCCGCCAGCTTCATGCTCCTTGCTCTCACTGCACGCACACAGACACACAAGCCAGACAGGCAAGGCACGGGACATGAAGGGAGACTATAATGACCCAGTGGTGGCGACACTGAGAGTGCTCATCATGACCTCAGGCTTGAGAATGTCCGCCAGCTTCATGGTCCTTGCTCTCACTGCACGCACATACAGAGAGGACCAGCAAGGCACACAGGAATGGACCAGGGAGAGAGAGAAAATCCGTGACTCAGTGACACACTGACACTGAGAGTGCTCATCATGACCTCGGGCTTGAGAATGTCTGTCAGCTTCATGCTCCTCGCTCTCACTGCATGCACACACGAAGGGATGCATCCACAATGGAATCGCTGAGAGTGCCCATGAAGACTTCAAGCATCTAAAAAAGTCGTCCATCTTCACGATCTTTACTCTCACTGCACGCAGTTTCAAGAAGGGAAGGGCCAGTAGCACGTGCACACCCAGTGCCCGACATCATCGACCAAAGTTCTGTTTTCTCGCCCCTGCACACTGCTACTATCAGCGAGTCACCACCTTCGAAAGCCGTCAAACTCAACATTTCACAACTTTCGAAGGTGGTGACTCGCAGTAAATAGCAGGGTGCAGGGGCAAGGAAAAAGAACGTTGGTCGATGATGCCGGGCACTGGGTGTGCACGTTCGACAGACACGCATTCCACTCACGGTGAAACGGAAGGAGGGTTAAGACAGGAAAGGGTTTGTCATTCCACTCACAGTGTTGCGGCACTTGTATTTGGCCCAGACCTGCCAGAATGCTCTGCAGCTGCGCCAACTGCACCGGCCCCTCTACTCTCCCACCACCACCACCACCACCACCACCACCACCAGCAGCAGCAGCAGCAGCAGAAGCAGCACCAGGAGCAACAGCAGCAGCAGCAGGAGGAGGAGCACCAGTAGCACTGCCTCTCAGCTCACCAAGACCGGTCGCCCCTTGTGACCCGGCTGGCACAGCACCACTGCTGCTAGCTGGTCTGTGGGGCGAGGCAGGAAAGGGAGGGCAGGGACAAAATACAAGAAATCTGACGCTTATGATGGTTCTATACAGGGATGACATCCCATCCAACCTGCCATAAGCTGGTGGCTGACACTCCTCCCCCACATGTAGTGGGAACAGTTCCCCACACACGTATACCTCGGCAACTTTTGAGTCGACTCAAAAGTCCTCCCCCACATGCAGTGGGAACAGTTCCCCACACACGTGTACCTCGGCTGCTGCGTCGCTCCAGGCGTCATAACCTGGTGGCTGTCCCCATCGTCATGCATTTCCGCCTCCTCCAAAAGACCCTCCTCCCCCACATGCAAGGGATAATGCTCCTTCCCTACTGCCTACCTGGGCTGCTGTGCTTCTGCTGCTGCAGGGGCCGTGAGCTGGTGGCTGTCCCCGTCATCATGCATATCCGCCTCCCCCAAATGGCCCTCCTCGTTCTCCGCGAAAGCATCGGCCTCAGAGTGCATCATTGCTGCATCCAGCACCCTGTCGGCCTCCTCTAGTAGCCCTGCACGCACACACACAGTGTTGGAAGTAGTGGTATGAGCCCAAGAGCATTCACAACAACATACACTTGCCCCACACGAAGAGCATCAGCCTCAGAGTCCATCATTGCTGCATCCAGCACCCTATCGGCCTCCTCTAGTAGCCCTGCATGCATACATCAACACACGGTTAAAATGCACATGGCTTCAAAGTGCCCCGCACAGGGAACATCAGCCTCAGAGTCCATCATTGGCGCATCCAGCACCCTGTCGTCTTCCTCCAGCAGCCCTGCATGAACGGAGCACCAGACGCACACAATGGGTTGAGACACGCAGGTGAATACATGTACACACATGTGGCCCCCACACACACAGCAAACATCGGCCTCAGAGCCCATCATTGCCGCATCCAGCACCCTGTCGTCCTCCTCTAGCAGCCCTGCAGCAGCAAAGAGCAATGCAGCACGGAGAGTATCAGCAAGTGGATTGGCTTGGGATACAAACGGCTTCAGACTGCCTGCCCCATACATAGAGCATCTGCCTCAGAGCCCATCATTGCTGCATCCAGCACTCGGTCGTCCTCCTCTAGTATCCCTGAACTGGGGTATCAGAACACACATGCACACATGAGTATTATGTGGCCAACACACACAGGGAGCATCGGCTTCAGAGTCCATCATTGCCGCATCCAGCACCCTGTCGTCCTCCTCCAATAGCCCTGCGTGCATACATCAACACACATTGGATTGGAACACATGGGTGAATACACGTGCATACATGTGCTCCCTTCACACCAAGAGCATCGGCTTCAGAGTCCATCATTGCTGCATCCAGCACCCTGTCGTGTCGTGCATACTCGATGATTAAAACACACAGGCGCATACAGGTGAATAAATGTGAATACATGTGCAAACATGTGCATACGTGTGCCCAATACACACGAGCATCGGCCTCGCAACACACCTGCACACACGCATGAGGGAGAACGGCAACTGGCCAACACAGACTTACAAGCTTCATTCAGTATCCGGTTAACTTCGGAGCAGTGGTGCTCGTCGTTGTGTGCCCTTTGTTTCTTGCCCTTTTCTGACAAACAGCATTCGGGTTGGAATCCACGACCAGCAGAGGAAGGCTAACGAAGCGAGGAGGAACGGCAACTGACTGACCAACAGGCTTACAAGCTTCATTCAGTATCCGGTTCACTTCAGAGCAATGGTGCTCGTCGTTGTGTGCCTTGGGCTCCTGAGAAAAAAAAGAGGGAGAAGGAATTATACATTCAATTACCCTCAAATGATCAGGAAAGAAAGCTGCTTGACCAGAAAATGATCAGAAAATGAGCTTCCGGGGTGACTACTGATTCAACTCAGAAGTAACCTCATGAATACGAGCCTTCGGAAACGCACGCAAACATCTCTTGCAGTCGTCCTCATTGTTACAAGCTTAAGGGGAGGAAAAAAGAAGAAGAAGAAAACATAACATTGTGCGTTGGTCGCCCTCACCACAAACGCGGCACACCTGCATCCAGGTGGCCTTCAAAACAACTCAGAAGCGTCCAAGAGAGCCCACCTGCATCCAGAAGAAGAGCTTGCGGTCGTCCTCACTGAAGGAGAGCACGTACACTCGGCCACTGGACTGGGACACCTGGGGAGATGAGCATAGCATACCTGCATCCGGGTGAATAGCTAAAACAACTCACAAGCAGACCATGCAGGCCCACCTGCATCCAGAAGAAGAGCTTGCGGTCGTCCTCATTGAAGGAAAGCACGTACACTCGGCCACTGGACTGGGACACCTGGAGAGGTGAACGAAGAGAAGAGCATCAAGTCAGGATTTCTCTGATTCGGCCCAAAAGTCACGTCAGTCAGAAGAGCACGTACTTTTGAGTCGACTAAAAAATAGACTCATCACACCTGGTGATGTTAGTGAGCGATCCAGTGTCGAGGTGTCTTGGACCTCGTCAAAGTTTTCATGGCAACACAATCAACAAGACTCATGGGATTTCAACTACACAAAGCTAGACACTCAAATCCCAGCTTGCCTTTTCGAACTTTGCTTCGTCTGGGAACACCACCATATCCTCCTCCACAGCTTGGGTGGTACGATCCAGCCACTGCAGATGCAGCAGTAGATCCTCCGTCTGAGATGCGAGGATAAGCAGGAAGGATGCACTGAGTGTAAGGGAGAAAAGACAACATTGCTGCGATCCAGCCACTGCAGATGCAGAATTGAAACAACCTCGGTGCACATGAACCAACAAACCCACTCACTCAGACCCACTAGAACATACAAACCCCCCCTCAAACCCAATCAAACACATGCAAATCGCGTGACCCTGAACTAGCGTTACGGTAGAAATTGACAACTTGGTCGGTCATGTACAGACACAAGGCCTAGATCTGATCTTTAAAAATCCTCAGTACGACCCTGAGACTGACCCTGATCAGTCGCAACAGGCCCTTGCGAGGGTCGGGTTTCACAGTGCTGCCGCTGACTGACATCCTACCAGCGCGGAACTCCAGCAGCACATCGCCATCACTCGGTGCGTCGGTCTGGTACACAAATCACACCCATGGACATAGGAGAGGGAAAACATGTATCAAGCAGGAAAGTGGATAGTGTCTGGATAGACTGTCATCCTCCCAGCGCGGAACTCCAGCAGCACATCGCCGTCGTTCGGTGCGTCGGTCTGCCATACAAAATTACACCCATGGATACAGGCGAGGAAAGAGAGATCTATTAACCATGAACTGGATTTAGTGGATGACAGTCATCCTCCCAGCGCGAAACTCAGCAGCACGTCGCCGTCACTCGGCGCGTCGGTCTGGCAAAGCGAGGCATTCAGAAAGAGAGAAGAGGAAGACAAGGAACGACTAGACGGACGGATGCAGAGAGTCACCAAGGTGATCGCAATTGCGGACGGTCACGGATCGCAATTGCGGACGTTAACGGATCGCAATTGCGGACGGTAACTGATACGTATCTTAATGAGCTGTATCTTTTGAGTCGACTAAAAAACAGAGAGTCACCAGGGGATCGCAATTGCGGACGGTATCGGATCCGTATCTTACTGAGCTGTATCTCGATCTCAATGAAACGTCAATCTTAATACGCTCTATCTTAGTGAAGCGTCACTTCAAGAACTTTCGCCAAAATCAGCACGGATCCGCAGCGGATTGCGTGGAAGAGACGGAATTTGCAAGGCATGCCTTATTTGAGCCTGCTGACGCTAGCACCCTGCAAAGCAGTATGGATCGGGGGCAGACAGCCTGAATACGACAGGAATTGTGAGCTGTACCTCCATATTGAAAAAATCACGCCGGAAAGACGCGTCGCGTGGTAGAAAACGCAGTCGCACGCAAAAGACTAACACCTAGTCAGTTGAGAAAAGCCGCGCGCACAGCCGTAACGAAAGATCACTACGTGATCGAATTTCCCGGAACAACACAAGCACCGCTGATCTCGGTCTTATTTGCCGCCTAGTCCGTCCGCCCGTTGTCTGACACACTTTCAGGGAGAGTTATAGCTGATCGCCCGTTGATCGCTGGCTTGGCCTTTTCCCAAGGTACTAAGAGAAACGGTATGGGGATCCGTCACATAACGCCGAACGTTTCTAGCAGGTAACTAGAAGCCGGTACATCTAGCTCGTGTGTGTTTAGTAGCCTAATATGCTGTAGGGCTGGAGTTTCCGCGAACCTTGAAAACTGTTACCAACTGCAAAGCAGGGGTGAGCAGGCGAATGGTCAAGCAACGACGCGAAAACGACCTTACCTGTAACGAAACAATTTCTTCTGGTTACCGCGAGAGGAATTTCCATCCATCGCTGTGTCAGAACTGCTGGCCAATGAGTCCCAAAGATGCTCACTTGCCGTTTCGCGAATCGGGAACCAGAAAACGAAAATGCACATTACACTTGGACTATTTTAATTATAAATAGTGCACAAAAGTCCGACCAGACTTGTATGCAACATTTGTATTGAGGCACTGTCGGCTTCTGTAGCTATTTCTACATGCGATGCATGGAAAGTGCAACCAGCCACGTTTTCTAGCTCACTGGGAGAGTGTGTAGGTTGGTCAAGGAGGTGCGGCACGAAAGTGGTTTGGTTTGGTATGGACGAGGACGACATGATTGGCCGATGGCACCTCGACCTTCCCCGCAGCTGCGCTTCGCCCGTAATGCTGTTTCTCCCCGTTTTGTTCGGTGCTCCCCATCCCAGCCGTTCCCTCACCTTCGTCAATCCCGAAGCAATCTCAGCCGTTCCCAAACTTCCGTTTCTTCCAACTTTGGCCATTGTGTTCCCACCATTTCCCTGAAACCTGACACAGCCTCTTCAAACTTCTGACTCTGTTCGACCTCCCTAGACCGACTTTCTTTAGAAGCTATTTGACCTACTACGGTCTAGGAATCAGCGTACTGTCAGCTTTCACGCGTTTTCGTTTGGCAAAGCGTTAGTAATAACGCTGTAGGTTAGGTCACTGTCTTTACTTAAACATACGCAAGCCTTTAGCATGCGGATTGGATAGACACCTCGAGCATAGTAACTCGCTGAACAGACCTTCGTCAGCGAAAATGGTACGTTATTGCTTCAGGAACCGATTCTCTACAATTATAATTTATAGTTCTAACATGTTCTATTCACTCCTGATCGTGTAGGCCACGGCGAGCAACATAGTGGTGGGGTCGTACGTGTGGGTGGAAGACGCGCAGAAGGCATGGATGCCGGCAGAAGTACTCGGAGTAGACAGCAAGACGGTTACCGTCAGGATTGGACGGAAAGAGGTCCGTATTCTAGTCAGTTTCACGTATTCGACCCGTATTTCGCCTATGTCGAGACCATTGTTCCTGCTGAGTACGCACGGCGCTGATCTTCTTTCCATTTGGCGGTCTCATCAGTCGCTAATCTCGTTAAAATCTTCCTTCTCACCGCATACATCTTCTCTTGAACACAACCGCTTCGGTTCTACCGCTGGCCACCCTGAAGTTAATTCCACGTGCAACCCTTTTCCCGATTTCCGGTTCCATTCAAGGCTGCGAAACTCATTCATTCCCATTCCACCGCAGGCCACCCTCTGAAGTTATCCCATGTTTCTTCATCCCAAGGACCCCGACCCTAGTTCCGTTAAAGGCTCACTCATTCTCTCCCATTCCACCGCAGGCCAACCTGAAGCTAACCCACGTGCATCCCAAGGACCCCGACGCGCCGAGCGGCGGGGTGGACGACATGACGAAGCTGGCATACCTGCACGAGCCGGGCGTGCTCTCCAATCTTGCGACGAGATACGGCCTCGACGAAATCTATGTAAGCCTGTGTCTTTTTTAGGCGCCGAAACAGGCGGGGTGGACGACATGACGAAGCTGGCGTACCTGCACGAGCCGGGCGTGCTGAGCAACCTCGCCACGAGATACGGGCTCGACGAGATCTACGTACGAATGACACTCCAGAGTCGAAATGTGTGTGAGACTGCCTATAGGAGATGTGTGTGTGTGTGTGTGTGTGTGTGTGTGTGTGTGTGTGTGTGTGTGTGTGTGTGTGTGTGTGTGTGTGTGTGTGTGTGTGTGTGACAAGCTGGCGTACCTGCACGAACCGGGCGTGCTCAGCAACCTCGCAACGCGATACGGCCTCGACGAAATTTATGTAAGGCACCTCCAGAGTCCACACGTGTTCCATGTGCGAGTGCCTAGACGAGATGTGTGTGAAATTCCACCCAGTGTGCTTAACAACCTCTCCACAAGGTACTGCTTTGACGAGTTCTTTAAAATGCTCAACAATAGTCCAGAGTCATGTGTGAGAGACTGCGAGACGAGATGTGAGAGACTGCGAGACGAGATGTGAGAGACTGCGAGACGAGATGTGAGAGACTGCGAGACGAGGTGTGAGAGACTGCGAGACGAGATGTGAGAGACTGCGAGACGAGATGTGTGTGACAAGATGGGCATAATCATACCTACACCAAGCAATTTAATTCGTACCTGCACCAAGCTAGCATCACCGTACCTGCACCAAGCTAGCATCACCGTACCTGCACCAAGCCAGCTTATCCGTACCTGCAGCAAGCTAGCATAACCATACCTGCACCACTCTGGCTGCAGGCATACACGAGAGGCATTCTGATCGTGGTGAACCCTTTTCAACACCTGACTGACTGGGCTTGCCTTTCCCTTGTCCACCCGTGCGTGTTGTTCCACCGCATCTGCAGACATACACAGGCAACATCCTGATTGCCGTGAACCCTTTTCAACACCTCTCAATTGGGCCTGCCTTTGCCTTGTCTGCCCCTGCGTGCTGGTCGATTTTGACTTTTGCAGACATACACGGGCAACATTTTGATCGCGGTGAATCCGTTTCAGAGGCTGCCCCATCTGTACAGCCAGCCCATGATAGAGCAGTACAAGGGCGTGCGCCTGGGCGAGCTCAGCCCGCATGTGTTTGCCATCGCAGAGACTGCTTACAGGTGGGCGCCTGACCGCGTGTGTGTGTGCGCGTGCGCCCTCGCGTGTGTGTGTATGTGCGCGCCCTCGCGCGTGTGTGTATGTGCGCGCCCTCGCGTGTGTGTGTATGTGCGCGCAGATCTGTTTGTGCGTGCGTGTGGATGAGAGAGTGTTTGTGTGTTCATGTTTATGTGTGTCTCAGCCAAAGCTCAATACTCTCCCCCCCCTCCCCTCTCATCGCTTTGCTAGACTGGTTCAAGCCAGTCCATCCTGGTGAGAACCTGAGTGAACATCAATTCTTCCATCCATGCCCCACACTCAATGCTCAACCACGTCCCCCCCACCTCCCTTCCCCCTCCCCCCCTCAGGGCCATGCTGGACTGTAGCGCCAGCCCAGCCAGTCCATCCTGGTGAGAAGATCAGCTTATGATGAAGTGCGACCCAGTCTCACATACCCCATCATACTGCCTTTTCCTCCCCCCCGCTCCTCAGGGCCATGCTGGACTGTGGGGAGAGCCAGTCCATCCTGGTGAGAAGATAAGCACACGATGAAGAGCGAACCAGTCTCCGATACCCATACCCCGATACCCTCTTTTCCTCCCTCTCCCAGGGCCATGCTGGACTGTGGCGAGAGCCAGTCCATTCTGGTGAGCGGGGAGAGCGGGGCGGGGAAGACGGAGACAACGAAGCTCATCATGCAGTATCTGGCCTACATGGGCGGGCGGGCCACAGAAGGCCGATCCGTGGAAGCACAAGTGTTAGAGGTAGGTGTTTAGAGTGGTTTGAGTCGGTTGAAAACACACTCAGAGGTGGAGGCAAGACAGAGACAACGAAGCTCATCATGCAATACCTTGCATACATGGGCGGGCGGGCCACTGAGGGCCGATCCGTGGAAGCACAAGTGCTGGAGGTAGGCGTTTGGAGTGGTTTGAGTTGACTGAAACACATTCACAGGTGTTGTACGGATGGGAAGAGCGGGGCAGGCAAGACAGAGACAACGAAGCTCATCATGCAATACCTTGCATACATGGGCGGGCGGGCCACAGAGGGGCGATCAGTGGAGGCACAAGTGCTGGAGGTGGGTGGTTGGAGCAGTTTGAGTTGACAGGTGTTGCATGGATGGGGAGAGCGGGGCAGGCAAGACGGAGACAACGAAGCTCATCATGCAATACCTCGCCTACATGGGTGGACGGGCCACCGAGGGGCGATCCGTGGAAGCACAAGTGCTGGAGGTAGGTGTGTGTGGGCGGCTGTTTTGTGGGTGTGTGGACGTGGATTAGAGAAGGCAAGACTTTTTGGGTTAAGTTATGTGAAGATATGATGTGCGCGTGGGGGCTCAATGCACAAATGCTGTTTGGAACGGTTGTAACTGAATGGGTTTTGAGGGCTGGGTGCACTCTCCGTGTTTTGAGTCGACTCAAAACACGACTCTCCGTCTCCCTAACCCGTAATTGTGGATTTAAACTTCTCCTGCTCCCCTTTTCCTTCTTCTCTCCCTTCCTTGCCTTCTCCCTCCCTCCCTCTTTCCCTCCGTCCCACCCTTCTCCTCCCTCCCTCCCACGTGTTCACAGAGTGACTTTTGAGTCGACTCAAAAGTCACCTCTTTTGAGTCGACTCAAAAGTCAAAAGGCTGCAGGAGCCACGTGTTCACAGAGTTGTTTTGAGACGTCTCAAAACAACTCTGTTTACACGTGGCTGCTGGGCAACGGAGAGTATGTGAAGGCAGGGCTGCAGAAGGTGCAGCCTCCAACTCCCACTCTTCCCCCCTTTCTCCTCCCCCCCACACCCCGTCCCACCCCGTCCCATCCCTTTCTCTTCAGCTTACTGCTCCGCCGGGAGTGCTGCTCGTTGAGCAACGGGGAGTATGTGAAGGCGGGGTTGCAAGAGGTGCAGCAGTGGATGCGGGAGGCGGGGGAGGAGAGCATGGGGCGTGCGTGGGAGGAGCTGAGGAGTATCACCCAGGCTGTGGGGTTTCTGGTGAGTGAGTGAGCGAGTGAGGGAGGGAGTGAAGGCGGGGTTGCAGGAGGTGCAGCAATGGATGCGGGAGGCGGGGGAAGACAGCATGGGCCACGTGTAGGAGGAGCTCAGGTGCATTACCAGGCCGTGAGGTTTCTGGTGAGTGAGAGAGACTGAGCAAGTGAGTGAGTGAGTGAGCGAGTGAGTGAGTGAGTGAGGGTTTGAGGGCAGGGTTGCAACTTGCAGGAGGTGCAGCAGTAGATGCGGGAGGCATGAGAGGAGAGCATGTGGCGCGAGTGGAAGGAGATTAGGAGTATCACCCTGGCCGTGGGTTTCCTGGTGAGTGAGGGAGTGAGTGAGTGAGGGAGGGAGTGAGGGAGTGAGTGAGGGAGTAAGTGCGTGAGGGAGTAAGTGAGTGAGGGAGTGAGTGTGTGAGGGAGTAAATGAGTGAGGGAGTGAGTGCAAGAAGTGAGTGAGTCCGTCTGGGAGTGACTGAATGAGGGAGTGAAGGCAAGGCTGTAAGATGCTTACACTCCGTCTCTTCCCAGGTGCTTACACCAAAAGCCCAAGTAGAGTCTCGAGAAGATTGTCACTATGCTCTGCGTAGTGATCTAATCTAACACGATGCAGTGCCTCTCTCTCCCTTTTCTCTCTGCCCGCACACCCTCCCCCACCCTGCCCCCTCCTTCCCTCCCAGGTGCTGCTCCAGAAGCCCAAGACGAGCCTGGAGGAAATCGTCACCACTCTGTGCCCATCGCTGTCGACACATCGCAACGACGTACTGGGATGTTAAGTACGGCAACATGCTCTCATCTCTGCCTCCTACCCCGTTTCCCCCACCCAGGTGCTGCACCAGAAGCCCAAGAAAAGCCTGGAGGAGATTGTAACGACGCTGTGTCCATCTCTGTCGACGCAGCAGCTGTACCGCATCGCCACCATGTACTGGGATGGCAAGTACGGCACATACACCGTCAGCTCAGCACGGCTTCTGAGACTCCTCAAACATGCTCCCATTGCTGCCTCTTTCTCACCCCCCCCACCTCACTCTCCAACCCCCCAGGTGCTGCACCAGAAGCCCAAGAAGAGCCTGGAGGAGATTGTCACCACGCTGTGCCCATCTCTGTCGACGCAGCAGCTGTACCCCACCATGTACCGGGATGGCAAGTACGGCACACACACCGTCAGCACTGCTTCTCAGGCTCCTAACCCCTCCCCCCCCCCCCAGGTTCTGCACCAGAAGCCTAAAAAGAGCCTGGAGGAGATTGTGACAACACTCTGTCCATCTCTGTCGACGCAGCAGCTGTATCGCATCGCCACCATGTACTGGGATGGCAAGTACGGCACCCACACCGTCAGCACGCAGGTCATTCAGATGATGCGTGCAAGAATGAGCGAGGAGGCGCGTAGCCCTGCTGCCACTGGCTCGTTCCTGCTGGACGATGCCTCGAGGTGAGAAGAAAGGGGATTGGGAGTCACGATGGGCTGATGCATACAGAGGGAGGTGATGAGTGGCAAGGCAAGTACGGCACGCACACCGTCAGCATGCAGGTTTTTCAGATGATGCGCACGAGAACGAGTGAGGAGGCGAGGAGCCCTGCTGCCACTGGCTCGTTTCTCTTGGATGATGACTCGAGGTGAGGAGAAGAGGGAATTGGGAGTCACGATGGGCTGATGCATACAGAGGGAGGTGATGAGTGGCAAGGCAAGTACGGCACACACACCGTCAGCATGCAGGTCATTCAGATGATGCGCGCACGAATGAGCGAGGAGGCAAGGAGCCCTGCTGCCACTGGATCGTTTCTCTTGGATGATGACTCGAGGTGAGGAGAAGGGGGGAGGATGAGGTGAGGTACGGGGAGTGGGGATGAGGCGAGGTGAGGGGAGGGGGGGGGAAGGAGTGGATGGGATTTGTGGTGGTAATGTAATGGAGGGGGGAGGGGGTCATTCAGATGATGTGCCTGTGCATGAATGGATGAGTGATTGAAAAAATGTTACTCCCTCCCTCCTCCCTCTCCCCACCCTCCCCCACCCCTCGTCCTCGTGTCACGTGCAGTATTCCGTTCGGTCCGGACGACTTCGCTCGCAGCATGGAGGGCATTGACACTGCAGTGCTGCCGGTGCCGCCTCCTCTTGTGGCCCATGCATTCTCCTCCTCTTTCCTCCCCTCTCTCCCCCACCCTCCCCCTTCCCGTTCTGCCATGCAGTATCCCCTTCGGTCCGGACGACTTTGTGCGCAGCATGGAGGGCATTGACATTGCAGTGCTGCCGGTGCCGCCTTTCCTTGTGGCCCATGCCCTCCCCTCCTCTTTCCCCCCCTTCGCCCCTCCCCACACACCCCCCTGTGTCACCACACAGCATCCCCTTCGGTCCGGACGACTTTGCGCGCAGCATGGAGGGCATTGACATTGCAGTGCTGCCGGTGCCGCCTCCCCTCAGAGATAACCCCGCCTTCCACTTCCTCTCGTCACGCCCCTAACACCAGCCTTCCACTTCCTCTCGTCACGCCCCTAACACCAGCCTTCCACCATTTCCTCGCCTCACGGCCTTAACACCAGCCTTCTAACACCCCACCGCACCACTCGAGTCTGGATGCAAGTCATTCCCCCTTTTCCGCCTCCCCCCTAGAGATTCACCTGCCTTCTAATAACCCATCTCACAGCCCTAACCTGGATGTGAGCCTTTCACCCTTTCCCTCACACCCGTAACACCTGCTTCCTAACCCGCATGTGTGCTTTTCACCCTTTTTCACCTCCTCTGAGAAACACCCCCCCATTCCACTTCCTAGCCTCACGCCCGTAGCACCAGCCTTCTAAGCTTTAACTCTCCAATTCTCAAACCCGGATGTGAGCCATTCACGCTTTTGAGGCGCCTCAAAAGTCACTCCCTCGCGTCACACCCCTTACACCGCCCTTCCAACACCCCATTACTCGACACCAGCCTGGACGCCAGCTGCTCACCCTTTCCGTCTCCTCAATTGGTAGAGACACTCTGATCTCGCTGGGTGCCCGGCTGTCCATGGTCGAGTAAATAACCCCTTTCGCAGCGGTGTTCGTCTGCTGTCCTTACCCTACTGACTTACTGACCATCTTTTTGACAGGCTACAAGAGTGAACCAACCACCTGTATGTAGTATTGTACAACAATCATACACGGTGTTTATGTCTACTCGCCAACGCGTTTATATGTATAGCAAGTTGTTCCTCTTGATGGAATTGTCGTTAGTTTTTTAAGCCGTTGGAGAATTGCATGGATGGAGCTGCTTCCTTTGGTGTGACAATCTTCAATTTTCCATGCGTTTTGCATTTCATACAAAGTTTATCCTGATGTCTAAATTCTTGGATACAACAAAAATGCGTGTGTGTAAGGAAAATTCCTTTTCCTTACTTCGCGTCCCTGCTTACCGCGTACATAACCGCTCCCGCCATCAGCACCCATCAATGCACGTTACCCGTTCACAACACTCGCCTCGACCACGACTCCCGCCACTGTTCACGACGCGACCCAACCTAACGGTTCGGTTGGTAACCCGCGCTCCGGACATCCGCCTCGACAATTCTCCAAACCTCGGCGCTAGGCCCGTAGCGCACCTCAATTTCCCACTTTACCTGTAGTTTTCGCTATATTTTCTTCGCTCATGCCTTCGCTCATTGTACTCTTGCTTCGATAGTACAATTCTCGCTCGTTCATTCAATTGCACTCGTAACACTTGGTATTCAGAGCCTACGATCTCTTCTCGGACCGCACCCACACCTTCGCTTCCCCACTATCTCATCTTTTTGGGGGGGGTAGACGTCTCTCAGCGAACAAGCACCGCAGCTCGAAGTGCTCTCTCGAAAGCACGCACGGCCACGACTGAGGCTCTCGCTGAGCTTGCCCGACACCCCCGCCATGGCCGAATTTACTCTCGCGACACTGACACAGGAGCAACTCGACCGTCTCGTGCGCCAAGTCGAGGATTCGGCGCTCGAAATTGCGACACTCACGGCGGAACGTGACTCCGCGCGTCAGCAATCCACGGTGAATACTCCAGCACGACCACACGCACCTGCAAATGTACCCGCACAATCGGAGGAGCCGATCGTCATCTCATCCGGCACACCAACACAGAACGACAGCGTGGGACAGCGCTCAGGCGCAGCCAGTGATGGCGCCGCTCACTCGATGCCTGGCATGGAAAGGAACAGGGTCGCACCAAGCCCGCGGGAGCCTCGTGAAGCCCGTCGGCACGTGGAATTTGCGGCGACAAGTGGCGACCACGCCAGCATGGCACCAATGCCACTCAAGCCGCAGCGCCCGCCTTGCTTCGACCCGAGCCAACGTGGAGGTCCGACGGTTCAATCGTGGGTCTTCACGATGAACGTCTTCTTCGACGCGAACTACGTCGAGTCGGACGCGGCGAAGATCAGATACGCCGTCTCGCTACTGAGGGGCCCCGCCATGGACTGGTGGCGAGTCATCGTGACGTCGCCACGCGCCTACGAGCCACCGTCGCAAGAAGAAGAGCCCACGGGCCCAGCTGTCACCTGGAGTTCATTCTGCGAAACCGCCCAATACAGCACGTGGGATGCGTGGTGCGCAGGGCTTCGGGCGCGCTTCGAGCCGATCGCGACTTCTATTTCGGCGCGTCAGAAACTGCGTACTTGGCGGCAGCTCGGATCGGTCCAAGACTACACGAGCGGTTTTCTCGCATTATGCGAGCAAGTCGGCTATATGCACGAAGCGGAGCGGGTGGACCGTTACGTCGGAGGGCTGAAGCCGGACATCTCGCACGAAATCATGCTACGCGGACTCTCGAATTTCAACGAGATTCTCGCGCTCGCCGAGAAAAAATCGACATTTTACGCCATCACGATGAAACGGGCTGTCGTCGCTGGAGCTGACGTGTACGCAGTGGATATAGCGTTGATAGGAGAAGCAGAGCAGCCGAGTGATTTTCAGAAACTGCTGACAGCGGTACCGCTCGAACTGCAGGAGCTATTGAAACGGTACCCGGGGATTTTTCCCGACGACTTACCGGAGGGACTGCCACCTCAGCGAGCACACGACCACCGCATAGAGTTAGAACCGGGGGCACAGCCAACCGTACAGCGACAGTTCAGACTGACACAGCCCGAGCTCGATGAGCTGAGGAAACAGTTAGACCACCTGTTAGAGAAAAAATTCATCCGACCGAGCTCGTCACCGTTCGTCGCACCGATACTGTTCACACCGAAAAAAGACGGAGGGTTTCGCATGTGCATCGATTACAGAGCACTGAACCGGGTAACAGTCAAGTCGCGATACCCCATTCCTCGCGCTGACGAACTGATCGACCAGCTGCGAACAGCACGGGTTTTTTCGAAAATAGATTTACGGGGAGGTTACCATCAGATTCGGGTCGAACCATTAGACTGCGCCAAGACAGCATTTAGGACTAGGTACGGGTCATTCGAGTACACCGTGATGCCATTCCGGTTGACCAACGCACCGGCAACATTTCAGATGACCATGAACGAGGCGTTTAGGCCACTTTTAGATAAATGCGTGATAGTTTACCTCGACGACATCCTAGTCTACAATCGTGATAAGCAGCAGCATTTAGCAGATCTGGAAGCAGTGTTTAAAGTTTTAGACGAGCACAGACTACTGACCAAGGGTTCCAAGTGCGAGTTTTTTCAGGACAGGTTAGAATTTTTAGGACACGCTATTTCGGAGGCTGGGGTTGAAATGGACCCAAAGAAGCTGGACACGGTCAAAGCGTGGCACCCCCCGACAAATATAACGGAGCTGCAGAGTTTTTTAGGGTTCGTTAATTACGTGCGTCGGTTCGTCCCCGACATGGCGCAATTGACAGCCCCACTGACGGATCTTGTGAGAGTACGACGGCTTATGCTGGCTTTGCTAGCTTGCCTGGACTTTATTATGCTATTAGTAGCTTAGGTTTTATTTATCATGCATAGATATGTTTGATTTCCTAGGTTAGGTGCATTCCTATATGTTATTATAGTTATAGCACCGAACCAGGTTACGTGTACCGAACTCAAGCCTATTCGGTTTCCACCGAATTGCTTTCTACTGAGTTCGGGAAGGTTCTGTTCGGGACGCTTCGCGACCCTCAGAACATTCGCGTAACACCTGGGTAACTGGCCTTGTGTCGAGCCTATATATGTGCCTCGTGCTGTACCCAGGTGAATCATTCAATAGAATCATCTTTCGTGAACCAGATCCTCACACTTGGTAATCAGAGCGGGTTGACACGCGAGGTCTTCAACCGCTTAAAACCGGCCTTTAAAAACCGCGGGGGCGACGACGAAAGCGCCGATACGGGTATGTAAAACCAGTTCCGCGCAATTTTTCTAAGTCCCCCTCGATTCGGTTTTCGAACCACCCTCAGATTTACTGGTGAAAAGGTTGGAGTTTCGACCGTTCGATCGAGTTTCATCTCAACGGCCCAGAGAATTTCGCCCAGACAAGTTGGAATTTGGAGCGTCGGATCGAGTTTCTCCTCAACGGCCAAGATCGAACGCGAATTTCGACTAAGGGAGATTTACGCGACCTACAGAATTCGCGCTCGTCGACTCTACATTCAACTCGACTCGCAGTAAGTCGACCAGCACCTAGAATTCGATTATTTTCGTCGCGCATCTTCCTGTAAATCGCCAAATGGAGGGAAAAGGAGATATTTCAGTACAGAAAATCGCGGAGTTTCGTGCTGAGCATAAGCAAATACGTGCGGCGCTCCCACGACTCGAAAAACTCCTTGCGAATCAGTCGGCAACCGCCACAGCAGCAGCGAATGCAGCAGCGACAGCAACAGCAGCAGCAGCAGCAGCAGCAGCAGCAGCAGCAGCAGCGGCGACACCGACAATTCTACCTGCGACAACGGCAGCAGCTACAGTTAACCTCGAAACAGTAAAGCTGAGGCTACCGGAGGCGTTCGATCCTATAGTTAAAGGGAACGACGTTCGTCGATTTGTAGCTGAACTCGACATTTACTTCGAAGCCGTTGGATGCACGACCCCGACAAAAGACGCAATGCGCATACGGCTCGCAGCAACAGTGTTACAAGTCCCAGCTCTAGAGTGGATCAACAACAGAATAGTCCAAGGCGAGGGGACGTGGGCGCAGTTTCGTGCAGCACTGATCGAACAGTTCGACGCGTTGAACAGTAGCTACTACGGAACACGACGCAACAAGCCAAATAGTGGCATGCGGCGATTGGCACCACCCACGACTGCCGACCCGATGGAGAACGACAAGGGCGATGTGGAGCAGCGGCTAGCAAAAAATGAGACGTGCAAATTTTCGGCGCTACAGGACATCGTATCTTGGCGTGTTGGAAAATGAAGAGAAGGCGTGCGGAGCTGAGGGACAAGAACAGTGCGGCACCCCCGAAGCAGAAAACGGACAACGTGGCAACTTCGGAGAGGGCGAAAAAAGGAGAATATGGTGGCGCGAATTTAAAACGTCACGACCAGCCGGCACCAGGGGAAATCGC